ATGAGAGATCAGTGATTGTTACTCCTTATCGATCGCCCGCTGATTAGCATTACTTATTTTGATCAATCGGTGGTCTCTCAGTTTGTCCGATCACATAAAACAATCACATTTACGACGCAAAAAACGTGAGATTTCGAATTTACTTCTTATGGTGACATAGGCAAAACAATTTTTGGGCCCCCTTCAATTATTAATAGGCCTATATAATATTACCACCCCAGCAAACAAAAACATTTCGTAATCAGTGGAAACCGTTGTAGCTCAGCTACCAAATCTGACCTCAGAAGACTACAGAGGGTAGTCCGGACTGCTGAGCGGATCACTGGCACAACCCTCCCTTCTCTCCAAGAACTGCACTCATCCAGAGTGAGTAAAAGAGCTGGTCAAATCATTCTGGACCCCTCACACCCAGCACACTCCCTCTTTGAACTGTTATCGTCTGGCCGGCGCTACAGAGCACTGAGCACCAGAACAGCCAGACACAGGAAAAGTTTCTTCCCTCGGGCCATCTACCTCATGAACAGTTAAATGTTCTCCCCACTGTGCAATAAAACATGTGCAATACCCAACTATCTTTACTTATATTTATTACACATATGTTATTGATTTAATATATCTTTCATCTATCCACATTCCCTTGCATAATTTGTCTATAGTACTGTACATACAATATACTGTTTACTGTCTTTGTCTATTGTGTATTGTTTTTTACATATTTATTTTTACTCACTTATTTTATTTAATTTTTTTTGTTATCTGTGTCTTGTCACTTGTCAACCTTTCTGTGTACTGGAAGCTTCTGTCACCAAGACAAATTCCATGTGTGTGTGTGTGTAAGCACACTTGGCAATAAAACTCTTTCTGATTCTGATTGATCTTTCTGTATTGTTTCTGTACATAAAAAAGGTGGAAAACATGGAAATAGTTTGACATTTTTTACCCTATTGTTTGTTATATTTATTTGCTCAATTTACTGTTGTAGATAGCCCATAGTATAACAAAAAAATATTATATATCTCTTCATTGTGTTTGGGCCCTCCTGGACGAGCGAGCATAGGCACATGCCCAGAATGCGGCTAAATCGGAGTAAATCCGGCCTGGTCTGTTTCAGATGTGTCGAGAAACAATGAAAAATGTCCTAAAATAAATAAAATGTGAGGAACATCACATGGCCAGTATTGGCAACGACAACCTAATTAAACACGTATGAGAAGTTTTAAGTATACATGGGCATCGGAAGCAACAAAAATGTGGGTGGGTGCAACATAGTGTAAGTGTAACTGTTATTCAATGCTGCGACACTATATGATAGTGATGGGACGATTGATACCGAGGCTCCGGTGCTCCGACGCAGTTTTCAAAGCACTATTGTATCATACACTGTGCTGATGCTTGTATCAAAATGACAATACCACGTGATTGATGACATTTGAAGCTTCGAACGCCATGCAGTATCGGAAGGTCGGGACTGCTGGTTTGAAAAAAATCAGCGCTTCGCATTACTCTTGTGTTTGACTTTACATTGACTTGCTTGTGTGTGTGTGTACACTTATTTGGGATTCAGTAGAATAGTTTAGAATAACCTCAACACCAGACAGAAACTGAATGCGCATCACACCTCTATTGCATTTTATCATGTTCTGTAGCTGGGGTCTCAGAGACCCCGAACAGTTCACCCAAAATATTTTTGCTACTACTCACGTCAATTATTAATTATAATCACACACTTGTATATTTTATATTATTGATCAATATGTGAATCCATTGACCGGACTACGCATGACACGAGTTGGCACAGATTAAAACAATTTTCAAACCATCCTCTGCTCCGCGATGTTTCGTTAGATAGGCTGGAGAAACCGAGTCTGACCACCAGGTGTCGTTAATGTGCACGGTGTTAAAAATGGATTTGAGGAAACAGCAGCGTGGAACTCAAGGATGTAGCTAAAATGTATAATGGAGTTTAATTTATTAGGGCATTCCTCAAGTGGAATGGATTTGACTGACGGTGCTCTGAAAAGTGAACAAACATATGCGCTGAATTAGAGACGGTAAAAGTGAGTGGGTCCTAGTGATGGGTCGTTCTTGAACGATTCGTTCATTTTGAAAGAATCTTTAATGTGACTCGGGAAGAACGAGTCGCGCATGCGCAACATCCTATAGGTTCTGTACTGGAATTAGTCAAGTAGTTCACCTGTTTCGAGTCTTCAGGTTTTCCGAGTCGTTCGTTCATCACGTGACAGCCCCATAATCTTAACCAATGCAGTCTGAGCCGGAAAGAGACTTAATAATAATAACCAACTCTTTATTACCTTTGTTACAACATTCAGTGTTATGGAAAAGAACCATAATGACAGAAATTCACACATTTATAAACTGTAAGAAGTAAAAAGCTACAATTTGAGACCTGAAACGCATCACGTAACTGTAAGAGTAAATAATAATTATAATAATGATGATAATAATAATAATAATAACTATGCACCCGTTTGTAAGGAAGCTTGTAAATTAGCGAATTTCTCTATCCAATACTGTCACGTCACATGACAAAAGAACGAACGATTCGAAAGACTCGAGAGATGAACGAATCAATTCTCTTTCCGGCTCAGACTGCATTGGTTAAGTTTATGGGGCTGTCACGTGATGAACGAACGACTCAAACCCGAAGACTTGTCAGATAAGAGGTGAGGTGAGCTAATCATAGACTGAATAATTAATCTTTTATGTTTCTTATAGCATTATAGTTTTGTATTTTTTGTAGTGTGATCAACGTTTGCATAAGTAGTAGACGTGTTAGGGAAGTAACACGTAACATTTTAATTATATTTTGCTAAAATGAACGAAATGACTCGAAAAAAGATTCGTTCATTTTGCTGAACGAGACTCAAAGGTCCGAGTCGGTAAAATGATCCGAACTTCCCATCACTAGTGGGTCCAATATCACTGGTCTTAAAAAGTGGATGGGTCTTGTCCTAGTCCCACCCACATACAATAGGCTTGTTCGAGATGCATCGGCGCTGCGCAGACCGATCGGCGTATGACATCAAAGTACCGCGAGTGTGATTAGAGAGCAGACGACTCTTTAAGCTTTTGAATCGATCTGGCGGTACTTTGATGTCATACGCCGATCGGTCTGCGCAGCGCCGATGCATCTCGAACAAGCCTATTGTATGTTGACAACTCTCACGCTCTCACTCTGCCCATGTAAATCTCACGCCAAAGTGGCAACCCTGCTTGTGATATGAAACAAAGTCTCAGCTTTCACATTTTGTAAGTTTTAATGCGAAATTCAAACAAGTTTTGGCGCACTTAATGTGGCGTAATTCGTTGTAGTGCCTCAGTTAAAGCCAGAGCCATTGAAAATCAGAGTTGCGACATTGCTTCTTTGATCTCGCCGGCATGCGGTCACGTGGTTCAATAGCGCTCAATAGTTCCAAATTAAACAGCGCTGTCAATACATCTGAATGAGTTTAAAGGGGTCCTATTATGCTTTTATAATTTTAGTCAGTGTGTAGTGTGTATGTTTGGGCATAAATGCCTACAGAAATGTGAATGGTTGGGGGTTGAGGAGGGGCGAGGTTGTGGTGAGAACGCTTGGTTGAGTGAGTGCATCAGACGAGACGATGAAGAAGAAGTGCTGCTGCAGAGCATGTTCTAGTACACCCCCAAAACAAAATCAAGACTTTGTAAAAGAGCATAATAGGACCCCTTTAAGCAAGATAGATGGCAGCTTCACTGTACAGGTATTTGCAGCAACTTTTGGTAAACATGACATCATATTATGCATTGATTATTACGTCGATGACATTTACAGTATCGTTTTATTCTGCAGTGGAGAGTGATGGAGAGGCAACATTAATATGTTTTTCTTGTATTTAACCTTCAGGTATTCCTTACTTAGAATGTGACCATACACCTTAACTATTTTTCAGTTACATAAACATTCTATATTTTAGTTCAATTATATTTATTTAATATTTTGAGGAGATCTTTTGGTACTAAATACTATTTGTGCAATAATTATGGTCCATTAATGACCTCTTAAAATATTTTTTCTAATATTTATATTACTTATATTACAATTTGTGTAGTATTTAAGGTTAAAATAGAATAAATGGTTTTAAATTCCAATGCAAAAAGGCAAATTAATCAGAGTAATTTTGTGGTTGGAAAAAAAAACATTTTCATTTGTAATGCAATGGTTAGGTATGGCTTTTTAATAAATATATGTGTATCTACTAGTCTAGTTTCTCAAAAGTGTATTGCAGGTCATACCTTACTTATTTTTAAGTTTTGCATTCGAATAAATATTTAGACATGATTAAACATTAGTTTTTTTAAATGCGAAATTAATAACTTATGCTTTTTTATTTTTATTGATACTCGTATAAGTGTACACGCAAGTGAATATTAATGAATGCAAGCAAATGCTGAATTTAACACAATAACATTTTCCAATGGTGCTACAAAAGGCATTCAACAAAAGATTATATCACCTTATATGTACAATACACATATGAATTGATATTGAATCATTAAATCAAGACCGAAGCGCCACCTAGTGGCTGTTACCAAAAAAGCATCAGCGTTTCGCCTCGGCTTCTACAACATTAAATGGCAGGAAATTTAAATTAAAACAATTCAAAGTACAATATATAGATATTACAAAAAAAATGAAATATTGACAGCGAATAAGCAGAAAACTGTCACATTAAGTTTAATTACACGTGTGGGTTGTGAATGTGAACGACATTTAATTATTTGGTATTTTCATTATACTTATGCAATTATACAATTGCACAAGATGTTTTATAGTTCCTAAAGTTTATTTGAATAAGTTTATTTGAATAAACAGTTACAGAAAGTAGCAGAAGCTTACTTCACATTATACACACATTATTATCAAGAAATTTCAGTCGGTATTTTTAGAATCAGAATCATTTTCTTGCCACATAATGAATGAATTTAGTGAGTCAAAGACAGTGTTGATTTCCAGAGTACTATTTTGCTTTACCACAACGACCTGTAAATAAAACATTATTGCTTATTACATCACATGCTTTATGTAGTCATTTTCATTCATGCAGCTTATTTCATAAGTTATCTTAAAGAACATAACTCACGTATAGCAGTGTCCACCTTCTGCATCACTTCCCGTTTAGGGGTTTGAGACCAACGTAGTGTCACGTTTGTGAATCCTCTAGCAGCTAGAGCAGATCCCACCTGAAAATAACATTAATACTCAACAGAGAATATGACAATACACTCAAATCTTCATAATTTATCTCATAGAATGATTAAACCCTGATTAAAACATGGAGCTGATTACTAATGGAGCAACTCTGGAGCAATGTCAAGTTATCAGTAAAAGTATTTGCTTTCCGTATATGAATGGACAAAATTAAATCAATGTAGAAATAAATTTACAATGATGTTTCTTTCTCTCACCTGTTTCAGAATATTTTCTCCTATTGACGGGTCAGTCAAATCAGCTCTGGAGTTAAACTGCATTTTTACAAATGATCTTTTTAAAACAGGACCTAACAAAGATATAAACATACATTTAAATATGCAAATTAATTTAGGTTTTTGTTCATTGAAACATATCAGTGTCTTTGTCTGTTGACCTTCTCCATAGACCTCCACCTCACACAGAGTGAGTATCTTCATGTCTCCAGGAATGATCAGATTCACGTAACGTCCATCCATCCCACCGCACGAGTAGCTGTAGGACTCACCTGCTGGAATAGCAGGAATAACAGCACATCTACAGACAGAGAGAGAAACACATGAAGGATATAAAAGCACTATATCTGCATCAATCCTTCACATTTGTGCTCAATGTCCCACATTCTTTCAATCTCACGTTTCTCACATGGGATTGTCGTTGCCGTTGCTCTCCAAAGAGTTTCCGATGCGAATCTCCACTCCGTTTATTTGTTCTGCACAGCAGTCTTTTCTGTTAGTGACCACCACTTCACTAACTCGGTAAATATGACGCAGATCCACCCTCCACCAGGGGTTAGTCTCATTGAGAGTTGAGGAGCATCCCGTATACAACTGCAGGAGACCTCGATTGCCATCAATGGCCTTTTCAGAGAACCAGTTCCCAAATGTTGATGACTGTGTAGCGGCTCCATCTACTGCCCGATTTCCTAGAAAATATATGGGGGAAAAAATGGCACAACACATCTTGATGCACCAAGTTTGTAGCAGAGGGGAAGATAAGTGGTCAACAATGACTTGAGGTGAAATGAGTCATCTCTGCATCAACTACCATCACCTAAAAACACCCTTCATATAGACAACTCACAACAAGCAAGCTATTCTGGCGTAAAATCGTGTCATGCAAGAGCATAAAAGTCAGCAAAATTAATAAAAATGCCCCTGAAATTCAAGATATGAATTGCCTCTGCATGAGTTCTTGTTTTCAGTGTTTATGAGATTATACAGTTAAGCAATATCACACAAGCAAGAGAGCAATTTCCTGAATTATCAGCACAATTGCAAATGTGATATTCACTTTTTACAGCAGTTCAATAAACAATAAGGTAATTATATTAACTGACCATTTTTCGACACAGCATCATTTTTGACAGTTTTTGCACTATTTTTCCACCCAAAATAGTAACAAAGCAGAACGACTGCGTCACATAGCAAGATAAAGTGGTGTTTCGTTCTTGAACGATTCAGTGTTTTTAAACTAATTGGTCAAGTCAGTGATTCAACGACACCTTCAGAAAGACTGTGCTCACTTGTGTTCATCGCATTGTTTTGTTTTTTCTAACATTTTATATTTAGATTCAAAATGTAATGTGTAAAATGTTAATATCATAACATTATGCAGATGCATTATAAATATATGTAAATTAAGATTTAGTGATGCTGATTTCATTTGATTGGTAACAGCCCTTGTGTTAATTAGTGTAACTAATTAAAAGATGTTTTAGATGTCTTCACAGCAGAGCATTTATCTACAATCTAAGGCTACGTCCACACGAAGCCAGAGCTTTCCCTATTCGATCATCTCAAGAAATATCTGCGTCCACACGAAACCACAAAACCGACACAAAACGATGTAGTATACATGCCAGACCAGTATGTGGCGCTGTAATTCTGCCACAGAGATACACTAAAAACGGAGAAGAAGACTTGGACTATGCGCATAAACCTTGCGCGCGGTATACAAACAAACATGAAACAATACATTTATTAATCTGTGTTAATGTAAGTTAATAAAAAGACAATAGTTCAGTGTTTGTTCATGTTTTTGTTGCTATTATGTGACGTAGCGGTGTCTGACTAGGGGCGAGACGTGGGCTGATGACGTCATCGTTTCAGAAAATATACGGATTCGCTGTCCACACGAAAACGCAAGGGCGGCGTTTTCAGATTTATCCACTCTGGGACCCGGTTTCAAAAAATATCGGTTTTACTCTCCCAAAACGCCAGATCCGTGTGGACGAAACGCCTATACGATACAAAATGTATGCGTATACAGCTAAACGCATCTCCGTGTGGACGGGGCCTAAGAGGCCATAAAAAAAAGTGTCAGTTTTAAGTATGGCATGATATTACTTATACCACGGGGCCGTTGAATGCTTGAATCTGATTGGCTGACGAGCGTTCTGAGGTGTGCAATTATTTTCAGGGAAACGCACGGCGAACGTAGTTCCAGGCAGCTCTCTTGACCGCATTACCGTTCCATATCTTGCATAGTTAACTGTAATAACGGAAATTAGCATACAGTACCTACACAGCACACATGAATTACTGCAGTCACACGTGCTCGCACAAGCACACTACGGTCACGCAGTTTGCACAAAAAGGTGTTGTCAGCGCTGCCCTGACGATTTTATCAGTTAGCCTATATAGTGTAGCAACTTAAAGGCTACACATGACATTTCTCACTAGCGAGGTAATAACAGCGCTGTTTAGAGACGCTGCTGCAGAACACTGTTGAGGGACGCACAGAGGTAGCCTAATTCACACAAGCTCTCTCTTTCTTTCTCTGTGTGTCTCTGTTTCTCTCTCTTTCTAATAACTTCATTAATAACTGCATTAGAATGCTATCAATGGCTCAAGCCTCCATTACCAGCTTTAAAATGACGTTTTGGAACTAGCAAAAGAGGCGTTGGATGAGATGCGGAAGAAATAATCCTACTCACAATAGCGATTTAAATACAAAAACCGGACGAATCCCTTTAAATATATCATCTGATCGATGTCTTGAGGTGTGGTAACCGTAGTATAAGCGGAGTAATTGACGACGGGCCGTTGAATTCTTCGAAAAATAATGCGTGGCCGCATCACCACCTCGGGTGTGCATTATTTTTCTAATAATTCAACGGCCCATCGTCAATTATTCCTTACATATTGAACAGTGCTCTACGACAATGAATTACCTCCCAAATACCCATAGACTTCAACCTCACAGAGAGTAACAATTTTCCCATTTCCAGGAATATGAACAGTCACGTAACGTCCCTCAATCCCACCGCATGAGAAGCTGGCCGTGGCTCCAGAAGGAATAGTAGAAACTACAGCACATCTACAGACAGAAAGATCATCCGTTATTGCTTCTGTCCATTCTCAGCTGTAGCCAATGATAAATGTCAAAAATATCCTCACATAGGGTTGCTGTAAACATCAGGGACGTTCCCGACACGAATCACCGCCCCATTTATTCTGGATGCTATTTCAGAATAGGAGCTCAGTCTGTTAGTGATGGCCACTCTGTTCACTCTGTATACTGTCATCAGATCTACTCTCCACCACGGGTCGGTCTGTGTGTTGGTGTGGGAACAGCTGCCGCCTACACCGTCCACTGCATTTTCGCTATACCAGGTCCCGTACATGGACGACTGCGTGGCTGTGTGCCGAAATGCTGCATTCTCTGGAAAAAGGCCAGTAATTCAACATTTAGGTCAAATATGAACATAAACTAAACACTAAAACTTAATAAAAACTGTATAGGCATTAAAAAAAAACTAATAAAAATGACAAAAGACAACAGAAAGTACTATAACTATAAAATTATTATGTTTCTTCATAATATTCTGGCATAATTCTAATATAATCTAACGTAAGGACTAGATAAGAATTTAAATGCAATTTAGCAGAGCATTTACTGTCCGGACTAGGATTTTTTTTTTTTTAGTTTTCAACATACATTGACGTCACGCTGTTTTATATGGTTTGAGAAGAAAAAGTCCAAGAAAAAAAAATGTAAAATTAAAATGCTCCTCAAAATTAATTCCAAATAAGAATTACGCGCGCCTGGCATATTACTATTACAACTGGCAGTTCAAAGATTTAGAACAGAACAAAGATGTTATCAAAATAAAAGATTCTTACCTTCTTGTCCATTCACCATTTCTTGAATCAGTAAAAACCCTGTATAAAACATGAGTTTCAGAGAAGCATGTTTTGCTGCCATTTGAATTACCATTAACATTTGTTCTCCTTTACCAGTTAATTTTTGTTATAGATGATGTTTTATTTATTAGTGACTATATGATAATGACGTCATAAAACAAGCAGAATGTTGTAGTCTAAAGTGGCATGAAAAGACATTCCTGTGAATCACGACTCTCTTGACAAACCATTTACATACACAAATGAGCACGGATTTCAAGATCGATTTGTTTTGTAAAGCAGAGCTAGAAACTCAAACTAACAAAAACTATTCCTATATCCAGTGACGAAGCAAATTCACAATCTATACACTGAGAATAGTATATAATGCAAACCATGGAAAAAGTACTGTAACATGTTTGGAAAGAAAATGAGCTGTAGATCCGTAAGTGCAAATTAAAATAGAAACACCATTTGAAAACATTCCTGACCAAAGGAACATATTACGGTTTAAATATTAGTGTGAATCTAGTAAAATAGCAGATACATGAATGTTGTATGTTACCCAGTAAGATACACGGGCACTTGTAGAGCTTCTTCATGGCTGATTAAAGGCGCCTGTCTTTCTCTTAGGATGGAGAGTGTGTGTTATATATGTTTTATGGAGGATGACCTGTTTAAATGTAAATCCCATGACCAACCTCATCTCTCCTCCCATTCGTTTCCATCAATCACATGTCTTTCTCTCTTCTTCCACTGGTCCACCTCACAAAAAACAGACAATAGAGCACAGAAAAGAACAACACAGAAAAAGCACAGAAATATAGAAATATCAGAAATGGTCCAAAGTACTGACATACTACATACAACAAACAGACTAAAACAAAATTACAGCCCTCAGTGGATATATCGCAATTAGGAGCAGGGAAAATAAAATAAAATAAAATAAAATAAACACTCCCTAAAGTTTAATTTGCTGTTAGCACAGGTTTAAGTGTGGCGTAGAATCAAGTTCAGTTCATGCATGTAGTGATTTCCATTTATTAATTTAGATAGTGCTTTTATCCAAAGTGACTTACAAATTAGGAATATCATATTTTAATTGACTGACAGGCTTAATTCCTTCATATGTACAAATGTGCCAAAAATGAATTAGTTATTAAAAACTAAATAATAATTTGCGTAAGTATTCACCCCCCAACACTCACTACACGTTTAGTAGATCTGGCCACTGCAGGTTTGCTCCAACTTCTCAGGCTTGCATGGAGATCTTGTAGATCTACAATCTCTTTTCATTTGTCTAAACAAGGATGCATTAAGAGCTGAGAGGCTGATGGGCCGAAGCACCTGACTGCCATGGGATGCCTCAAAGTGGCCACAAAAAGAAACGTTTCCGTCCCAAAAAGCTGGTGGCAAGAGTTTTATGCTGATATTCTCTTCTCTTCATAGTTTTGCCAACTGGCTCCAGTTCCCGAATTCTTGCATCTGCTTTATGAAACAAGGTTTATGTTGGTAACAATGGTAATTAATCTCTGAACTTTGTAGTTTTATGCTTCAACCTTTGGAAGGCCAAAAGTCAAACAGTATAGCTTTAAGCAAAATCATATTCAAACCGTTTCTGTTGAGAAGATCTTCTTTGATTGAAGTTTGTGATTGGATAATGTTTATCGTGACTTGTTTTGATTCTGTTTCTAAGTCCATACATCCTCTGCTTCACTGCCTGCTTTGACTAGTCCCTCATCTGCTCATCTGTAATTCAGAATTGACAGACAGGGCATAATGAAAATCGGATTTTGTAAACTAATTCCAGTCACATCAGAGCAGGGATGCTTAGATGATGCAGCTCTGGGATACTGAATAAAAGGAGAAGAGTAATGGTACTCGATTTTCAATCAGTTTTAAATGATATGTCTAAGAATACTAGCATTTTGTTATATGTCATCATATTTTTATAATTTATCAAAACAGTTAGACTGTAAAAACAAAACATATATTGTCCACAACAATGTAAATTTATAACACAAAATGTTTTACATACAAATGCATTCATTTAGCTTCCAGTATATCACAACTACAACATTTCATAATGTTAAATATTTAAACAAGCATGATAAAAAAGTGTGGTATTGCATTGCATTAATGCATCCATTGCAAAAGACAGACAGGTGTGTGGTTTAAGTGGATATGGAAATCTCTGCTGAAAGTCTTTGAATGTTATTTTCAATGTAAAACGTGTCAACACTGATGCGTCACTATCAAGCACCTAAACAGAGCAGCACAGACTCACGAAACAAAAGTGGACAGATCCCACAAAACCCTTCTCAACCCTGAAAAAAAGCAGTGTTTGTGCATCTGTGATTGTTTGTTGGCATGTCGTCATGAGGATGGATTTGATCTTTGTGCTGTATTTAGGTGAGTTGCACTGGTTTTGCACAAGATCAATTTAATCACTAAAAAGGGGTGAAGACATTAGATTTCCATTATCGTATTGTTTTAAAATATTATTAATGGTTATGCATTGGAAAAAAAAATAATTACAGCTGTATTTTATTGCCATAAGAAGAACAATAGAACACATTACATTTATTGACTATGTTTACATGGCTTAAAGGTAACATGACCAGGGTTATGCATTATCTCATGTTTTCACGTCACTAAATAAAAGTGTTTTTTCAGACTATTGGAAAGAAAACATCCCAAATACAATATTAAGCATTTATTGTATTGCACTTTACCTGTTTGCGTCTGTAGGTTTAATTTTTTTTTTTTTATCTTTAAAGGTGTTTCTCTCAAAATGAGTTTGTTTTTCCACTTCAGCAGCACTTACATACACCAAACGTAGCAGTTTTATTCCTCTCTATATTCTGAAGGTTTTACACAGGGATATTTGCTCACATATCATTCGCCTTATTTTATTATTGCACTTTATGGTAACGCTTTAGATTACAACCCACAAAGAACTACGTAAGTATACTGAATTTACGGTGTACGTTTCTGTAATTATAGTGTACCTATAAAGAACACACATGTAGGTATAAGGGAACAATGTGTTACGTTTGGGTAATAAGGGGGTAACAACCAGATATGCAACCTGCAAAGAACTGCGTAAGTAAACTGAAGTTACAGTGTAACTTTTTTGTAATTTGTAATGGCGTTTGGTCTCGTACTGTATCGCGTACCTTGTCAGTGTCGTGCGCTTTGCTTGGCCATTTGTTGGGATAAACAGGAAAGTGTGTCCAGCTGAATTCAATTTGAGTTTTGTTAAACTAATTAAAAAGAAGCTTAGTTTACCGCGGAAGCGGTCGTGTGAAGACCGAAGAGTGTAAAGACCATCGACTCTACCGTGCGACGACACCGGCAAAGGACATAAGTATCGCTTTTTATCTCTCCTCTTTCCACTTCTGTTTCAGTTAAGCGTCTGCGAAAGTAAACAAAGTAAAAGTAAAGTAAGTAAAGTAATTATAGTGTACCTATTCAGTATCTCCGTGTAGGTATAAGGGCATAATATGCGAAGTTTGGGGAATAAAGGGGTAACAACCTGTAAAATTACAAATCATTTATACTGTAAGTATTCTGAAACTAAGTGGTACCCATTCTAATATTACGTGGTATGTATGGCCTAAACAACAATCTTATGTTTATACGATTTCAGCAACTTCACACCAGCAACTTCTCAACACCACTACCACCAAATAACTTTGCATGATATACCATCAAGGTTCAGTGCAGCTTAAAACAAGCTTACCTCTTTCCAGCTGTTCGCAGAAAAAATACATGATACAACATTTGTATTTCAGTGGATGTATACTGTGGTGTTTTTATAGCAAAAAAAAATGTAGAGGGTTTAAATGGCCATCGAACAATTAAATTAAAACTAGTGCAATATTTTTCTCTGTAATTACTGTGCAAATATACACTTGTTCCTCCCTTGTTCCATATAGTTACAGGGTAAATACAACATTTGCGGGCTGTAAATTAAAGTGGTCCTTTGTTCCCCCCATGTTCCACGTAGTTACAGGGTAAATACAACATTTGCGGGCTGTAAATTAAAGTGGTGCTTTATTCCCCCCTTGTTCCATGCCAACATTTGCAGGCTGTAAATTAAAGTGGTGCTTTGTTCCCCCATTGTTCCATGTAGTTACAGGGTAAATACAACATTTGCGGGCTGTAAATTAAAGTGGTGCTTTGTTCCCCCCTTGTTCCATGTAGTTACAGGGTAAATACAACATTTGCGGCTGTAAATTAAAGTGGTGCTTTGTTCCCCCCTTGTTCCATGTAGTTACAGGGTAAATACAACATTTGCGGCTGTAAATTAAAGTGGTGCTTGTTCCCCCCTTGTTCCACGTAGTTACAGGGTAAATACAACATTTGCGGCTGTAAATTAAAGTGGTGCTTGTTCCCCCCTTGTTCCACGTAGTTACAGGGTAAATACAACATTTGCGGCTGTAAATTAAAGTGGTGCTTTGTTCCCCCCTTGTTCCACGTAGTTACAGGGTAAATACAACATTTGCGGGCTGTAAATTAAAATGGTGCTTGTTCCTCCCTTGTTCCATGTAGTTACAGGGTAAGTGGCTACAACAAATTGCTCTGAAACGATTGTTTATACATTAGGTCATACATACATACATTATATTATATATCAGGTAATGTATCAATAAACATGGTGGACTGTTTTATTTAATTCAAATATTGTTTGCAATTTACTATAGGCCTACTGCTGGGTTAAATTTTATCTTAAAATCAATTTTATTCACCATTTTCGTTTCTATGACGTGTGAATATATCCCCTATCGTATTCTACAACAAAAACAATCAGAGCGCCTTGTTATCACTAGTTCTATTTTGATTTCCCGAGTCCACTATTAGCATATAGCCCGTTAGCATCGCCAGCGTGGATGCCACTAATCTCGCTTGCATTGCTAATACTCTATTCTCACACATTACCATTGTTTTACTCACTGTTACTTGCTTTAATGGTGGATGTGTGTCTACCTTTGAGTACAGGTGAGGACACGTTCA